AAAGGAACGCGATTTCAGACAAGAGAGGACATTATGGCTGCAACGACAGCCGCTCCATTTCGAAAGAGGCTTTCTCGGAATGCTTCCAACAATGGCGGCACCGCTGGGAGAAGTGTGTGGAGTCCCAAGGAGACTACTTTGAGGGTGATTAGGTTTCCAATGCTCCAGGTACGCCAGTTTTTATTTCCCGGCCAAAGGTCGGATACTTTTCTCACAGGCCTCGTATGTCCAGCAGCCAATCAAGAACAAGTTGGCTTGCTGGCAAGTTGAAATAACATTCATTAAATATTTGGTTTTGGTTACATGCCAGAAGAGTTTTTAGATGTGTTCAGTAGTGCATGCCCTATTTTATAGCTTTTGTTTTGCTTGTTTGCTTGAATAAGTGTTTTTGCAATACCACAGTTGTTACTGTTTTGCATAGCATTTTTTATACAGTAGAAAAAAACAAGTTATTTAATCTTGGTAGAGTTCACCCACTGTTCATATCAGGAAATTAGGTTTTTGAAAATGACACATTGGTCATGAAAAATCCTGGATTTTTTTTCTATTAGCCTGTATGAACAATGGTTGAAAGAGCTGGATAACACCTTAGTTTTGGTGTTTGCTTTTGTTTGGCTGCCTTCCCTCTAGTGAGTAGTTCATAATTAGAGACAACTATACCTACACATTAGAGGAGGTTGAACCAAGCATTTAGCCCATATATGCATATGGGCTATTGAGGCTGAAACTTCCATTTCTGTACTCTGTTTTCAGTTTGGTAAGCAGCAATTGCTATTTCAAATAATCTACAGATAACTTGAACATCAAAAGCTTTTTATTAATATACATACATGTACAATACAACACTGTCATCAACAAAGTCGCCAAGAAACTCTGTGAAAAATATATAGCAGCTAGTGTACAGTTTATAGTTGTTGAAATGATTGTAAGCCTATTATCTAGCTGCAAAGTGAAATGCAACTCATCTTGTCACCTCACATATTCATAATTATTAGACTGGTGAAAGTGTTTATTAGAAGACATTATGATCTACTTGAGTGCATTGTCATCTCTCCTAATATAAACAACTTACTATGCTTACGTGATGTCATTTATCAAATATTTTTCTGGGTCTTTCAGATGTTGTCTTCGTTTAAGCTAAATCCTGATATAATATGTGATTCTGGGAAATTAAAATTACTGGATTCTCTTCTTCCTGAACTACAAGAAAAGGTAAGTATGGAATAAGAAACAATGGAATTATTTTCTTTGCTATAGCCTAATGGTAATTTGTATAATATATTGACCATTACATCATACAACTATTAGCATAATAAATATATCACAAGAATAATGGCTGTAATGGTCAATATTTATACAACAAACTTTTCTCTCAAAATGAACGAGTTCAGTTCTTGGCTAAACGTAACTCCTGACAATATTTTGTTGCAAAACAGTTAATTAAAAAATTAAGTTGCTAAGTAATATAAAGAAACACTTGAAACTAAATCTATTAGTTCTTTAAAGGCTTTCTTTGAAAATCCATATCCTCAGAAGACGAAATGCTTCTCTGAATCTGTAGTTTGTTTCTCTTCCATTTTCAAGAGCAGAATATGGTGCAGAGAATTCAAAATAACAAATAAATGTTTTTTTTTATTTTCAGTAAAAACCAAAAACCTGACTGTAAAGATTCTGTTCTAGATATTTTTTGTATTTATTTATTTATTTGAAATTGATAAACTGTTAGTTTCTTGTTTTCAGGGTAGCAGAGTGCTGATATTTAGTCAGTTTACAATGATATTAGATATCCTGCAAGAATACTTAAAGATCAGAAATTACAAACACCTGCGGATGGATGGCTCAAGTCCCGTTCTAGAAAGGTAAGACATTGTAGTTAACAGAGGCTTTTGTATTGCTTAAATTACCAATTTCGAAGAATTTAAGCATAATAGAAATGTTAAATATATATATTTAATTGTATGAAATTGTTTTTTTAAATGTGCTTCATAAAATACGCCTTTATTTTTGTAATAATGTTCACACTTTGATAATTGAATCCCATGCTAATGACAGTTGTTATTCTGACTGTTAGAATAAGACAATATATTACAAGACCTATGTTACATACTTTGATTAAAATTATAACTTGTATTATGTTAAAAGAGTCTTCAGTCCAAATATATTTTTTCATATAGCTTCAATCACTGAATAATTAAAAAGCTTCAGTGCTCAGTTATTTGTACTTAGATTACTAGAGTTTATCTTTATTAGCATTAAGATTTAAGTTCATTTTTTCAGATACTCTCTAGCCAATTTGTTGTAAACTATAGAAACTGGTGTATTAAGGAAAATGTGTCATTTGATGGTGTTGTATCTAGTGCCAATTTAATATGCATACATATGTGAACATAACTTCTGAACTTATTTATTTTCTAGATCTGTTAAACAGTAGTTTTTCATAACATTTTTAATGTTTCAAGAAATTCATATATTTCTCTTTCTTATAGACAAGAATTAATAGACCAGTTTAATGATGATCCAGATATTTTTATATTCCTGTTATCAACTCGTGCTGGTGGCCTAGGTATAAATTTGACAGCCGCAAATGTAGTTCTTCTTCATGACATTGATTTTAATCCTTACAATGACAAACAAGCAGAAGACAGGTGTCACCGAGTTGGTCAGGAAAAGTAAGTTAAAAATCTCTATATCCCACCTTTCACGAAGAAAGGTTTACTTTTTAAACCTGTGGTGCAGGATGAATTGGTAAAGTAATATTCTTAAAGGTTTTAATTCATCAGAAAGGTAACATAAGGTTGGGGTAAATAGTCTTTCAAATGTGTTCAAAAGGTAGAGGAATATTTTTAAGAATTGGAAAGAATGTTTGGTCAGGAAAAAGGAGAAAAAGGGGCAAATAATTTGGAAGGAAGGGAAGAGGAAAAAAGAACAGTGAAAAAGAGAAATAGGGAACCAAACTCTATATTGAATATTGTGTTTTGTTGCTTTAACTGCACTTCTATGGTGCTGTTGTCAACAAGTTAGACGTAGTGAACATTTAGGAATGCATTTTAGGAGCCACGATTAAGAGTACTGGAAAAATCTGGGGTGTTTGGAAGACTGTGAAAGATTTTAAGGTATGTGTCATTTATCAGGTATGAAAAGTACTGCTTTTGAAGTACTTATAACTTTGGTCCCTCTGTGGGTCATCAATAAGTCTATAGACTTTACAACACTAAAATCCAGGGTTTAATTCCCCATGGTGGACAAAGTGCTGGTAGTTCATTGTGTAGCTTTATGCTAAAACAAATGAATATATATTGGAAAATCAAGTTCTTAAAGTTTGTTACAAGGGATTAGTAAAAGTATGTTTTTAAATATTTACTTGACACAATTAAAATTATTGACTTATTTCTGCACAGTATCTTTTGATGACCTGTGAAGAAAGATTTGTTAAGTTTAACATCTTTGATGATAAAGCAAGTTTGAATAATTTTTGTAGAACAATTAGGAGCATCTTTCTTTCTTTCATAGCATCGTTATGACATGTTAACTGAATGCAACTTGTTAAGAGCATGGAGAATAGATTGCATGGATTCCAATCATTTGGAACTTCATCAGACTACTATAAGGTTTTTTTTTCCCACACAACACTGCCATTATTTTGTTGACAGCCTTTATGTTATGTAGATCTTCTTTTTGAATTGTTTTATTTTATTGAGAGTGGAATAGTTGAAAAGCATCATTTTCCATTAGTAATTCCTCACTTGTCTTGATGAACATGCCTGCAATTGAACTTCTATTGTTCGATGAAAGTCGTATGACTGCAGTGCGTCGTTAAATGCCATTCCATTTAGTGAAGAATCAGATTAGTTTTAACACTTCCTTCCGAGGTTAATGAAATCTAACTTTATCTTTTGAAGTGATTTTTTCCTCTACACGTTATAAGTGTAACGTAGTTTGGTCACAATCGCCAACCCTAAACACTACTTTGGAAACATTTATTTTCAAGATAGTACCAACTATTGTTGAAACCCGGTTATTCAAGTAAGCAAGTCTGTTACATGCAGGATCAGAAGAAATAGTCAAAAATTATTAACCTATTTAAAAACTGTTTATTGGTATTTTGCTTTTATAGTTGCAGGTCATTGTAGATAATTCTGCATAGGTAATGTTGAAGTTTCTCAGTACAGTTACTCTGTATTATATGATCTTCACCCATGGGTCTTTGATCACTTTGCTTTGTTTTTCATTTTAAAAAATTGCATCAGATAGGACAGTAATGTAGTGTTCTTACCTGAAAATGAATTATCAAGCTATGTTCAATATACTTGTCTGGATTTTATATACATTTTAAATAATATTATGGCAATGAAGGTTCAAACCAAACTTCTTACCTGGTTGTACATTACATTAAAATAATTCTTGTTAAGCACTAACAGCCCTCTATATGATAAGTAAACATTATTGTGAATGTGTTTTGAAGTTTCTTACTAAAACACATTAAGGATGTTATAAGAATTAAACAAAAACCACATCTATGGAATGTGTAAGAAGTAATACTTATCAGATGGATAAATGTTTTAAAATAACTTGTTAAAATGTATTTGTAAGATATGCTACAGGCAAAGAAGATGCATGGTAAATATAATTTGGTGTATTTTTAGAGAGGTACGTGTCATCAGAATGATTAGTAAAGACACTATTGAAGAAGGAATACTTAGCTGCGCACATGAAAAACTGAAATTGGAAAAAGATATTACAGCAACAGATGATGGTGAGTTCTAATGTAGGAAGATTATAGTGAGTCTTAATGTAGGAAGATTATAGTGAGTCCTAATGTAGGAAGATTATAGTGAGTCCTAATGTAGGAAGATTATAGTGAGTCCTAATGTAGGAAGATCATAGTGAGTCC